CAACTCCGGTGAATAATGTCGCTAAAATCATAAAAATACCGAATATTGAGAGGTACCGTTATATGGAGGCTATAGGAAGATGTATGCCTGCATATGCAATTTTTTGTCATAGGCCCATTTCGAATTCTAAATACAAAATTTGAAACAACTGCGCTGAATAATGTCCCTAAAATCATTAAAATATCAAAAATCGGAGGGTACCATTGTATGGGGGCTATTCGATATCGTGGACATATATAGACAATTTTCTTTTAGATGATAAAGTAGTTACGAAGGACCCTTTGTGTAGAATTTCAGACAATTCTGTTGAAAAAAAAATATGGCTACAATCATCAAAATACTGAATATGAGGAGGTACCGTTATATGGGGGATATACGATATCGTGGACCTATATAGGCATTTCTCTTCCAGGCGGTAAAGTACCCACAAGGAACTCCTTTTGTGGATTTTCAAATGATTCTATTGAAAAATTTAGCTACTACCATAAAAATACCGAATATCAGGGAGTAGATATAGCCCATCTTCGAACATTAACCTGCCTGCAGACAAAAGACTGATCTGTGCAAAATTCTAGCTTCCTATCTTTATTCGTTTTGATTCTAGCATGATTGCAACAGACGGACGGACAGGGCTAAATCGAAATCGAATTTTAACAAAATAAGTTACAAACTGAAGGACGAGCTTACAAACGGAAGGACGAACTCCATACTATGTAAAGGTATAAAAATGTTGTGCCAAAGGCAACCTCTATTGGATCCAGATCGTCCATAAGAAAATTGAAACTGTTCTCAAAGTAAAGGCTCTTAGCGGAATTTTGGCCTTTGCTGACCGAAAACACCGAAAAAGTTCATTTATTCTAGTTCACTGGACTAAGATCAGTGAACGAGCAAGTATAACTATTTTCAAACAAAAAAGCTGAAGATCTTACCACTACAAATCAGAATCAATTCAGAACTATGAAATTTTCAAAAAAAAAAAAAATAAAGAGAAAAAAAGTACAAATAAGTTAAAGGTGAGAATACATAAAACTCTTTTTCGACTCGCATGCTTTTTGGTAAAAGAACAAAGGATTTTAAGGTTGACTTAGTTCGATTTTAATTCTGTGCTCCTTTGTTCCTCTACGAAAAAAACAGCCGATGACGTAAGCCAGTCGAAAAATCGTTTCATGTATTCTCACCTTAAGTACAACAGCAAGTTAGAATAAGACTATTAATCTCCAGGTGAGAATACATAAAACGAATTTTTTTGGATTGGCTTTTTCGTGGAGGAGTTTTAAGTTAACTTAGTTCGAATTTTCTCCTACACTCCTTTGTTCTTTTTCGAAGAAACCAGCTGATGACAGTCAAAAAATCGAGTACCAACAATACCCATTGATCTTGGTACCATGAGTCCTAGTTTTTTTCCCCAACCGCAAAGTATTATTTTCTACCATCGTCTCATCTCTCTTCATTCATTTTCGCCACCTTGAAGATTTTCATCTTCGCTTGAAATTGTTTATAAACAAAAGCAAAGAACTAACAACTACTACTATTTATCTGCATTTGAGTTAATTAACTAAACATTATTTTTATGGGAAATTTATGATTCTGACGCCACGGAAATATTTCCGAGAAAATTGACGGGTCGGCAAAAACCAAATTCCTTTATATTTTATCTCCTCAATTTGTAATAAATTTTATTAACTGCAAGTGAAAACGGGTACGTTAAATATACATATGTATATATGTATACACACATTCTGGAGAACAACCTACGTTTTCCTTGGATTAGATGTAGAAGTTTATTGCAATTTTCGGTGAAAATAAAAGATAATAAACAAAACGATGATAATTCTTACTCGAGGCAAAATTACGAGGATATTTTCCTAAAATTTCGCCCAGGTGTTCATTTTATTCTTTGGAACATAAAAAGATTTGGAAATAACATGACACGACAGGTTTTACTTCAAATTTAACTTAACTGAAAAAAATTGTAAATAAACATTAACCCATGGTAAAATTAAGAATGTACTCATTTCAAATAAGCATTTCCATCTCTGCATTTTCTGTAATTTACCTTGTCCAATTTCACTGCCATCCCATCTCCGGGTAGTTATTATACATATAATGCAGTTGAAGTTAAATTCTGCTTCTTCTTTTTAAACTCACAGCCATATGGCTAGAGAGGGCATAAATCATTTGATAAGGCCAAAACCTACCTCATCGAAATAATGGTTTTAGTTTCAGGACATTTGGAGTCTATCTAGCGATGATCGTCCTTCGGTCCGTCTGTTTGTCTGGCTGGTGCGCACGATAACTCTCGAAGGGATGATCCAAACTTGGTACATCGTAATATTATTGTCAAACTTAGATCGAGTTCGGAATTGGGAAATATCGGTACACTCCCTATGATACCTCCACCACAAAAGTTCGAAATTTTCAAAAAATATTTTTTTTTTTTGAACAGAAAGAGAAACGATAATCCGATTTTGCTCCAACTAAGGCTGGAAATACATAAAGAGCATATTTCGTTGGCTTAAGTCACCGGCTGGCTTCTTCGTATATGAACAAAGGAGGTTTAGGTTGACTTAGTTCGATTTTGGCCCTGGGCTCCTTTGTTCATTTCCAAAGAAGCCTACGGATGACTTAAGCCATCCAAATAAGCGCTTTATGTATTCCCAGCTTAATATTTTCATCAGTGCCTCGTGCGAAAATGGACATCAAGTACCTCCCCCACAAAGGTTCAAAATTTTGAATAGCTACAGCTCTTATAAAATGAGATGTAAGATTCCGATTGTCTTTAAATTTCACACATCTCAATAATTTTATTGGCCCAAGGTCTAGATTTTAGCAGGAATATATAGGTCCACTCCTTCTGGTACCTCCCCCGAAAAAGTTCAAAATATTCAAAAAAAAAAAATATTTTTTTTCTGCACAGAAATAATCCGATTTTGTTCCAACTTTGCAAATCCAGTTCTAACTCAGGTGCAAAAAAATGGATAATTTCGGTCCACTCTATCAAGTGCCTCCACCACAAAGGGTCAAAATTTTGAATAATTATAACTGTTTTAAAATGTGATTTAAGAGTCCGATTGTCTTCAAATTATACACATCACCATATTTTAATTAACCCAAGGTCTGGTGTGAAGATGGGAAATATTGGACCAATCCTTCTGGGACCTCCGATTATCTTCAAATTACACACATCACAATATTTTAATTAACCCAAGGTCTGGTGTGAAGATGGGAAATATTGGACCATTCCTTCTGGGACCTCTTCCACAAAGGATCAAAATTTTGATATCCATGAAGATCAAAAAAAAAACCGCGCAATAAACATCCGATTCCATTCAGACTGGAAACATCTCAATATTTGTATCAACACAAGACATGTTATAAAGATGACAGAGATCGGACCATTCCTTCTGGTACCTGCCCCACAAAGGGTAAAAGTTTTGAATAACCCAAACGATCATAAAATCCGTTTGCGATTCTCTTCAAATTAGACACATCCCATTATTTCCACTAGCACAAGATCTGCAGTAAAGATGGAATATATCGGCCCACTCCTGGTAGCTCTCCCCCTCTAAGGGTTAAAATTTTGAATATTTATAAAGCTCACAAAACGCGAAATTAATATCCGATTCCATTCAGACTTGTCACATCTCAATATTTTTATCAACACAATATCTGTTTTAAAGATGGTGGAGATCGGACCATTTCTTCTGGTACCTCTCCCACAAAGGGTTAAAGTTTTGAAAAATGAAAACGCTCAAAGAAAGGAAAATGAGAATCTCTTCGATATAAATGTTCGATTTTCTTGTAATTTTACCCATACAAATATACTTCGGAATACTTCGGTCGGCAGCTCAGGCACATTTTAAAATAAAGGAAGTAGGAAGAAATAAAGGAATATAGTCCAAAGCTGGCACGTCGCAATATTTATACCATACTTATAAAGGTCCGATACAAAATGAATAATATAGGTCCATTCCTTCGGCACCTACCCCAGGGATGGTCAATAATATAACAAAAGTTAAAATATATTTAAAAAATTGAACATTGGCCGAAGGTATACATCCGTCGGAAAAAACCCCGACTAATACTTTTTAACTTGTGTTTTTTTTTTTTTTTTTTTTTTCAAAACTATCAATTAATTCATGTATCTTTTATTTAACATACAAGGCCAAATGCTATTTATACTGAACTGAACTTCTCAACACATGTAAACAAGTTGTCCAAGAATTTTGTAAACATTTCAAAACAAAATTTTCAAACTTTCAATTTCTTTGTGGCCCTGTGCTTGTGTGTTTAACATGAACCCAACCAAAAAGAGATTGATTCATTAAAAATTAAAGAAAAAAATTAAAAAAAAAGTTATATCAAACCTCAATACACCTGTGCCGTTGCTAAGGAAGGCAGGTGGGTGGTATGACATTCTTAGCTAAAGATTTTGTTGTGATTTCGTTCAAAAAAAAAAATGAATAAATAAATAAACAATTATTTATAAACATTAAACCGCCACGAACTACAAGTTCGGCAATTTTGGTTAATATATTTAGACTGTTTCATTAACAGATCACCATGCCAATCTAGTGAAATGGGCGTCCCATCTCTCACCCCTCTCCTCCTACACATGATTGAGAGAAATAAACAATTCAAAATTGTTCTATGGCTCTGACTAATTAAACATAAGTACACTTGCCCAGAGCTGTGCAATTGTTTGCGGTTAGCGCCGATTGATATAAACCCGGCAACATAAACAATGACCCCCACACACCGATCCACCAAATCGTCGAGTTGTTTCTATCGGCGGCAGCATCAGTAATCATTTGTGTTTCTTTTTGTTCTCTCTCTCTCTCTCTCTCTCTCTGTCTCTCTCTCTTTTATCATTTTATTGTAGGTGTAAAATATTGTGATTTGTCTATTTTGTTTCTCAGGGCCATTGATTACGCCTCGACTGTTTGACCGATTGAATATTTACGTTTCTCCTTTTTTGGTTGTTTTTTTTTTCTTTTCAGATGAAGCCCCCTTAAAGCCGGAAAAATTCGAAACTGTCCTCGATGATTTCGAAACAAAAGTCATGCCCGGCGTTGTCCACTGGAATCATCCGAAATTTTTTGCATATTTCCCCTCGGGAAATTCCTTTCCATCCATATTGGGTGACATGCTGAGCAGTGCAATTGGTTCGATTGGATTTTCATGGGTAAGTAGTTGCAAATCAAATCAAAATCGACATCAGTTGGGCGCCAAATTTTATCATATGACAACAAAACACAATTCTATGTTTAACAAAAAATTAGTGTAGCTGCTAAAAATAGTAACCTTTTTACTAACAAAAATAGAACGAACTAAGAGTTAAAAATATTTGAAACCAATTGCAATTGAACGTTGGGCGCCAAATATACCTTAGGAAACTTTTAAAACAGAATGTCATCAATCGGTAGCTACAAACAAGTTAAGTTAAAAGTTATCGGTCGGTGTTGTCGACAGATGAGATGAGGGTATACCCTCAGCCAACGTCCGAATATTTAAATATATTTTGACTCCTGTTATGATTATTTAAATTGTTGACCCTCTATAGAGTAGGTTCCGTAGGAATGTGCCAATATTGTCCATTTCGTATCGGACATAATTAAATATGACATAAATATTGCCACGTGCGAGGTTTGGACTATATCGACTACTTCCTTCACCTTATATGAGATATGTGATAACTTTTAAAAAATTGAAGAGAGTTGGATGCGTATTTCGTTTTTTTGAGAGCTTGGTTTTTCGAAATATTGAACCCTATTTTGGGGAGGTACCAGAAGAAATGGTCCGATCTCTACCATCTTCATAACAGATCTTGTGTTGATGGAAATCTTGAGATGTGCCAAGTCTGAATGGAATCGGATGTTAATTTCGTGTTTTATGTGCTTCATGAATATTCAAAATGTTGACCGTTTGTGGGTGGAGGTGCCAGAAGGAGTGGACCGATATATTCCATCTTAACACCAGAGCCTGAGTTAGTATAAATACTGGAATGTGTGAAATTTGAAGATAATTGGACTCTTACATTTATAAGGTTACTCAAAATTTTGACCCTTTATGGGACAGATACCAGAAGGAGTGGACCGATATTGTCTATTTTCCAACCTAGCACTGATTCGTGATTGTTGAAGAAAAATCGGATTATACTTTCTTTTTTGTGCAGTATTTTTTTTTTTTTTTTTTTGAAAATTCAAAACTTTTGTGCGATAGGTACCAAAAGGAGTGGACCGACATTGCCCATATCCGAACTAGGTCTAAATTTTATAATAATATTACGAAGTATCAAGTATGGACCAAATCGGATACTCAGACAGACAGACAGACGGACGGCTCAGTTAAGATCCGGATGGTGCAGCCGTCTCAATTCCTATTGGGCGATGTGCAGAACATCTGCCCAGCTTGTAGCACAGGTGCACATGACCAACCGCTGCCCAACCAAACCTACTCGCCTAACTCCAGTTTCGTGTGGACCCAAATCCGTACAGATTGTATCCTTTTTGAGACTGGACTTAGAGGCTGAATCCGATTGAGAGGAGTCAGAACGGACACAGCAGTATGAGCTGCTACAACAACAGACAGACAGACGGACGAATCGCTAGATCGACTCCAAATGTCCTAAAACGGATTTGGTCCAAAGAGACCTGGGGTCTAAAATCATTATTTCGATGAGGCACCCTCTCTAGCCATATGGCTTAGGGTACAATAACAAATTCGGATTACCATAAATTGGGCGCAATTTTAGTGAAAAAAAAAAAACAATAAATCCAAACCATAACCTCGTGGATGGTTCGATTTCCCCGCCCATACATTTTTGGAGTAATCTAGACTTAAATATCCTACATTAATCGGGTCTCGATAAGTTGGGCACCACAAATGCTTTAAATAAAACGCCTATGGGGTTTCTTTTGGTAAAAAAAAAACAACAAAATAATTCAAAATATAAGCTTGTATGTGGATTGATCTAGACTTTGAAAGTTTCCGAGTACGAGCTCTCCATATTTTAATTTAAATCAACTACTATAAATGGACGTCAAAAATTCCAGGTCATTTTTGATTGGTAATTCAAATTTTGGTCCACACAAAAATATAGCCATAGATATGTAAGTGTTTCTGTGTCGACTTTTTCCATTGGGCGTCATAATGCTCCGCTTGTTTTAATTAAATACAACATCAGATTCTGGCATCAGTTGCAATATCAACGAGAAGTGCTTCAGTATTTAATTGAAAAATTTTCAATTGGGCGCCATGTTTTTTTTAAATCCTCTTTTAGATAATAGGGACCTTATCTTGTGCTTATATTCGAATATTTTCAGTTGGGCACCACAATAACATCATATTCTGACATCAGTTGCTCTGATAAGGAGAAGAGTTTCAGTTTTGAAATGAAAAAATTATCATTTGGGCGCCATACTTTTTTAATTGCAAAGCTTTTTTTACGAACATATTTGTATTTATATATTATAATATATACTAAGAGCTCATAAACATCTTCCATATTTCTCTACCCTCCTGCAGGCATCATGTCCAGCATCAACAGAATTGGAAACCATTGTCCTGGATTGGTATGCCAAGGCGTTGGGCTTACCCAAAGCATTTATTACAGATGTACCTGGCAGTCGTGGTGGTGGCGCATTGCAGGGTTCCGCCTCCGAATGTACACTGGTGTGTATGATCACAGCCCGGTCCAGAGCCATTAATAAGCTACGTGGCATAACATCAGAAATACATGAAAGCGTTTTCCTACCCCAGCTGATAGCTTACGCGAGCAAAGAGGCACATTCATCTGTGGAAAAGGCGGCCAAAATGGCTTTGGTAAAGTTGCGCATTATTGAGGCTGATGAGAGGGGACGCATGCGTGTAGATCTACTGCGACAGGCCATACAGAATGATGCAAATGCGGGACTGACACCATTCTTTGTGGTGGCCACCGTGGGCACCACTGGTGCCTGTGCCTTTGACAATCTCGTGGAAATCGGTAAAGTGTGTAAGGAAGTGCCCAGCATATGGTTCCATGTGGATGGTGCCTATGCGGGTAACTCTTTCATGTTACCCGAAATGCGTAAATTTTCCGAGGGCCTGGAGTATGCCGATTCCTTTAATACCAATCCAAATAAATTGCTGTTGACCAATTTCGATGCGTCGGCCATGTGGGTAAAGGATGTGATGAGTCTAAAGACCGCCCTGAATGTAAATCCCCTGTACCTGCAACACGAACACGATAAGGCCATTGATTATCGACACTATGGCATACCGTTGTCTAGACGTTTTAGGGCTTTAAAGCTTTGGTTTGTCTTCCGCACATATGGTCTGACCGGTTTACAGGCCTACATCAGGAATCACATGGCACTGGCGAAGAAATTTGAAATGTTGGTGCGCAAAGATGATCGCTTTGAGGTGCGAAATGATGTCTATCTGGGATTGGTATGCTTCCGCATGAGGTGAGTTTCAGGGAGAGGGAGAGGAATGGGGAGTAGAGAATAAAAAAATAATTTGTTGTTCTTTCCTTGTTGTAGGGCTGCTGACACATACAACCAAGAATTGTTGGCCCAAATCAATCACTCCGGCAAGATGCACATGATTCCCTCCATGGTCAATGGCAAATATGTGATACGTTTTTGTGTCACCTATGAACATGCCACCGAGAAGGATATAGGTAAGTTGGAATAGTGCAAATATGATATTTGCAATTTTTTTTTAATATTTCAGAATATTCGAAACAAAATTGAAAATTTTCAAAAATATACATACAATTTTTTTTGAAAATTTAAAAAAAGGAAAGTTTTCCAAAAAATTTTTTACAAAATCGAAAAAAAATTAGGAAAATTCAAATTCAATTATGAAAAATTCGAAAGTAATTGAAAAATGTATATATAAAAAACTTTTTCTTATCTCCCTTCAGAAAATTTTAAAAATTCTGAAATTTAAAAAAATTGGAAGTTTTTCAATTCTTTTTAAGAAATCAAAAAAAATAATAATTTAAAAAAATTAAAGTTTTCCAATTTTTTTTTTTTAATAAAAAAATTGAAACTTCTTTACATGATTTTGAAAAAAATTGAAAAGTTCAAAATAAATCAGGAAAATTCAAATTCAGTTATGAAAAATTCATAATTGAAAAATTTATTTATAAAAATCTTTTTTTCATTTCCTTTCAGAAAATTTTGAAAATTTCAAAAAAAAGAGGAAAGTTTTCCAACTTTTTTTTGACGAAATGGAAAAAAAATTGAAAAATGTTTCAAATGTTCTAAATAAATTAGGAAAATTCACATTAAATTATGAAAAAATTTCTTTTTTCAACAATTTCAAAAAATGTGGAAAGTTTTCAGATAAAATGGAAAAAAATGAAAAATGTTAAAATGATTTTGGAAAAAAAAAGTAAAAATTTTCGAAAAAAAAAATTGAAAAGTTCAAAATAAATTAGGAAAACACAAATACAATTATGAAAAACTCGAAAATAATTGAAAAATTGATGAATCTAAAACATTTTCTCACCTCCTTTCGGAAAATTTAGAAAAATTGAATGTTTTCCAAGATATTTTTAAAGAAATCAAAAAAAGACAAATTTTTACATTAGAAAAATTCAAATTAAATTATAATTTTTTTTTTTTTTTTTTTTTTTTGAAAATTTCAAAAAATTTAAAGTTTTCCAAAATATTTTTTGACGAAATCGAAAAAAACTGAAAAATTTGTACATAATTTTGAAAATTTAAAAAAAAAAAATTGAATTTTTTCGAAAAAAAATTGAAAGGTTCAAAATTAATTGGGAAAACATTATAATAAATTCGAAAATAATTGAAAAAATTATAAATCAAAAACATTTTCTTTCTCCTTTCAGTGGATGCCTGGACCGAAATCAAAACATTTGCCGAGGATATTTTACGCGATGCCACAATGGAAATCTCATCACTGCCACCGACACCGGAAAAAGTCCTATCCGAACCACAACCGATCACCGGCAAACCACCAATCAAAAAGAAGCTCACCCGCACCAAATCCTTGCGTTTCTCCTTTACACGCAGCATATCGCGGGAAATGTACGAATCACAGAGCGAACATCTCAAGGATGGTTGTACACCGATACTGGTGGTCGATAACAATGCAATGATGCAGAGTTTCCTCAAGGCCACGGCGGAAAATCAACAGAATAAATTGAAAGATATACAGGATGTCGATACCGACGAGGCAAGCAATTAGAAAAAAAAATTAAGAGAAACAAAAGAAGAAGAGGAGGAAAGAAGGGAGATATCCCATTTTTATCCTTCCTTGTTTAGTTGTAATTGAATATGTATGTAATTCCTTGTCCCTCCCAAATAGTATTATATGTAAATGTATGTATTTGTATTTGTATTTATTATTATTTTTGTTTTTTTTTTTAATTTTTAATCACAAATTGTAATAATTACAACATGAACATATTATTGTAATTTGTCGCTGTTATTTGTATTGCTCTCATTTTTTTTTATTCCTCGCACATTTTTACAATTTTTATTAATTTTAAAGTTTTAGTGTTAGGTCTACTTTCTTTTTTAGATTTTTCTTGTGATTCAATCACGAACCGAGGCTCGATTGCAGTTCGAAACACTTGTTTTTCATTTCTTTATTTATTTATTTTGTAATTTTAAAACATTTTTAATATATATGTTTACACTGTATGTATGTATGTATTTAGTTTAATAATATTCATCATTTGAATTCGAATTTTGTTTGTGCATTTATTAAAACAATCGATATATTTATTTGTATAAATGTACTGAACATACACAATGACATCGTAAGTTGTAGTACAAAAAGGGCAGTAAGTCAAAGCGAAACGAAAGAAAATATGGAAGTGTCATAATATAATGGCTTGTACTATCAATAAAACATATCAAACGTGTTTTAATTTCTCGGGATCGAATCGGGAAAATCAAAATGTTATACTAAAATGTCTATATTGGTTATCAAATTTTAGAAAAAAAAAATTGAAATTAACCTAAAAATTCGAAAGGAATTCAAAAATACATTAAAGACATGTACACAAGGGCTACAGGCGTGCGGGGCTGACCCCTTTTGATCGATTTCGTTTTTGAATAAATGCCATACATTCCTGCACCAATTTTACCTTTGTTTTTTGACCAGTAGCATTTGTCCAATTTTTACGCCCTCTTTCCTGATGATAGCCATTCAAGACAATTTCACACAAAAGTTGTGGTCCATTTTAACCGCTAAATGTTATTCGATGTCTCTTAAAATTGATAGGTTTTTGCCCTGTCTTATGCTCTTAACCTATCAGCGACTGTAAAATCAGTAAACTTTACAGTTGTTGGTCCATTTCAAACCTATAAATATTTTGCAATCGTCTCAAAAAACAATAGACTCCTATTCTGAGCTTCATGTATATTCAAAAATGTTGACCCCTTAGATAGGGGGGTGGTGTACCAGAAGAAGGAGGTTACAGAAGGTGTGGTCCGATATTTTCCATCTTCACAATAGATCTTGTGTTAGTAGAAACAATGGGATGTGTGAAATATGAAGAGAACCGGATGCTTATTTCGGATTTTATAATCGTGTTGGTTATTCAAAACTTTGACCCTTTGTGGAAGAGGTACCAGAGGAAATGGTCCGATCTCTACCATCTTGTGTTGTGTACCAGGTCTGAATGGATGCAAAATGTTGACCCCATTTTTTGAATTTTTAAACCATTCCGTAGAAAAATGTGGCTAGGATCATAAAAAAAAAACAAATTTTGGACGTTGCCGTTAGAGAGAGAGGGAGGTCCAAAGCTATAAGAGAGAGCCACCAGATCAAGAAGCCTATCAGGCTGGTCTGAGTGGCATTCCAGATGCCATCAACAATTATATACCGTCCTCGGTGTCCACAACCCATTCATTGCAGCTGAAAAACGTCTGCTTCATCCAGGGTAGTTTTGTCGCATTACCATTCAGGATGGTGCAATCGTCTCAATTCGTATGAATACAGTCCTCGGAGTCCATTGCAGCTGAAGAACATCGGCTCCTAGACAAGCCAGGGGAGGGCATTGGGTACGAATTGACGAAGATGTGTGAATCGTCTGCCCGACAGGTGATATAGGCCCACACAATACGCTGCACCTGTTCAATTGCCCAGCCATATCCACCGCACTCACTCTGTGGAGAAGACCACTAGGTCTTCTATGAAAGAATGCTTCCAGAAGATTTTTGGTTACAACCCGCAAAGGTAGCCGAATTTTTGAACATGGAGCTAGTACCGGATTAGCAGAAATCATGAAAAACATTACATTTTTTACAACAGCCACCGCTGACACGATGATGATAAGAGGCAAATTGTATTTCCCTCACCGTCATCTACAACCGATTATTAGGCATACCTTTCCGGAAATGCATTGCATTTAAAGTGACTAGGGTACCACGTCAATCGAAACAAGCCCCCATCATATCAATTGAAATTCATTTAAGTTTTTACGTGTATAAATTGGAAGTGTATATTAATCATGGATGCATACAAGACGTCTACTATGTCGCAATCGTAACAGAGATATATGAAAACAATTCAATAAAGGTGTAACTGGTTCTGTTAATTACTTCAATCAAAAATGTGAACATGAGTAGACATTGATTTTATAATTCAATCATAGACATGCAGCCACGTATGATTGGTTCTGAAGACATTTTCAAGTGATCAATGTTTGAATGCGCATTTTTTGGAATATTGACTGAATAGGTACATAACTTCATTCCTTTCGTTTATTGTAATGAAGATTCTGAAGATTCTTACATTTTGCCAAGAATTGTGCTAAATGAGGGCTGCTACTTTTGGCGAATAAGACGATTGGGGTACGATCTGCATTCTATAATTTAAAGCAGTTTTAAGGCATTGATTACATTTTCCAAACAGAATAGTTGATATTTTTCTGGCAATACCAAGTTGGTGTTTAGGAAGTAACAAATTAATTTCACTTTATTCTGTTATTATTTTGGGAACTGAATAACTTTTCGAATTTAAATAATTAAAATAATTGTAAAAACCTGTTTTGCTGTGCCACTATACACTCCATAAATGCATACAAACCATAATGTATTAATTTTGATTCTGTGATTTCGTTCCACTTTTGTTGTGGAGTGTTGTTTCAATATTCAACTTGATTTTTTGTTCATTTTACCCGACACAATGGATATTTCTTATTTAATGTTAAAAACTCCCAAAATCCTTTACTTTCAGATTTTAGATGCCCTTAGAATAGAGGTGGCCTCTGTCAAAAAGAAGCCTTCATTATGCTGTCTACAATAGATGGTATTTAGAAATAAAATAAACTATCATTAAAACACTTGCCACTTTGAATTTTCCTTATTTTATTAATATATTTAAGTTAAAAACACAATTTTCTTCACAAAGACGCGGCGCTTTCTTCAAACGTAAACAAACTTTGAGTGTTTTTGTTTTGTTTGTTTTGCACGTGAAAATCAGCTGATCTCGTAACTTAAAGAAGCATGACTAAATTGAGGCGGAAAGTGAAGGAAGCAACAGATGATGGTTTTGCGAGACAAGATGAAGTTATCATTCCGTAGTGAGTGCCAGGCAAGAATGGACAATGTAAAAAAATCCCCCATAAGGAAAAGAAAAGAGAATTAAGCAATTGCAATTTAAATCGAAAGAAATAATATATTTATTTTATCCGCTAGCTTTTTTATATATATTGCAAATCGTCTCATTGATATTTAATAAAAAAAAGATAAAACGATCTCAGAGAAAAAAAACTGGACGTGTAAAGAGTGCAATCTAAGATACCATGCCGTTGTGGATGTACCAGCAAAGAAGAAGAAGCAATGTAAACAAAATCTCTTACCGGCCTGCATTTATACGTTTATATCTGTTATTAAATTATTAATTAAATAATTAAGTATAATTCCCACATCTTAGTAAAATAATTACTCTATAACAATGCCTACCTGGAATCAAATACAATCACAATTGAGAAATCCAAATAATCCGGTGGTTTTCTTCGATGTGTCTGTGGGAACAACGGTTTGTAATTTACCCATAGGAATTAAAAGCCCACCATTCCATACTTAAAGAAACTAATCTCCTTTTGATTTTTAGGAAATTGGACGCATGATATTTGAGTTATTCGCCGACACAGTACCAAAGACAGCGGAGAATTTTAGACAATTCTGTACAGGAGAATATCAACCGGATGGTGTACCCTTGGGTTATAAGGGAGCCAGTTTTCATCGTGTCATTAAAGATTTTATGATCCAAGGAGGGGATTTTGTTCATGTAAGTTGGCGCTCCATAAGACGACAAAAAAAAAAAACAATCATAACTTAGTTTTCTTGTAATTGATAGGGCGATGGTACAGGCGTCATGAGCATTTATGGCAACACATTCTCCGATGAAAATTTCACCCTAAAACATGATAGTCCCGGTCTTCTATCCATGGCCAATAGCGGCAAAGACACAAATGGATGTCAATTTTTCATTACATGTGCAAAATGTAATTTTTTGGATGGCAAACATGTGGTGTTCGGACGTGTCTTGGACGGTCTGCTGATTATGCGTAAAATTGAAAATGTGCCAACGGGACCGAATAACAAACCTAAATTACCGGTTATTATTTCACAATGTGGACAAATGTAAAGTGTAAATTAGATTGGTTTGCTTTTGACTTAAATAAATGTAAAGTTTTTTTTTATGAAAAAAGCGTTGTGTTCACGGTTTCACAATCAAAGAAACAAAACTCCTTGTAGGAAATGTTCAGCAAAACTCTAATTTCTTTTAAATGTGGGGTATCTAATTTTGGGAAAAAAAAACTTTAAGGACCAAATTTATGACTGAATTGATTGGGTTCTGGTTATGTTTTAAAACACAGAATATTTCAATGTAACTCAACTCAAATGGATTTAGAGATATGTTCGAAATTCTTCTTGCCTAATAACAATTTGGGCTTTTTTTCAAGCCATTCATATTTTCTCATCGAATTGACTAATGTTTTAGATGGTCTCGGTAAATAAGCAATCATCGGTAAAGATATATTTTGGACAGAAAATTACCCTTAAGATATTTTCCACCGTTGTAAAGGTTTTAATGAACTCTTTCAGAAGTTGTTAATCCAACAATCTTCCAAATATTACCAAAACCTCGCAGTCTTTGAAACCTTGATAAATGTGTTAAGGGAGAAGCAAAAGAAAATCCTTTGTCAAAAAGATTTCTTCAAATGAAAAGTAAAGTAAGGTTTTCATATTTTCTAAATAAATAAAAATAAATTCAAACAAAATATTTAATAAAAAGAATAAACAAAAATCTTTAATTAGTTGTTTTCTTTGTTTTACATATAAAAATGTATATAGGTATATAAAAAATGTCGATGGCGAATTAAACTAAAACTTGGCAATAAAACTATAGTTACTACTTATATCTTGAGATTACTCATTCAGGCAGTAACTTGTTTTTGCGTTTTAAATCAAATATTTAATTTGCAGAAACTTTGCGTTCAGAATGCATGAATCAGTATGGGGCGTACTTTAATGAAAATCTCCATACAACACTAAGCTATATCTCAAAAGTTGTCTAGAATGTAACATTTTCAAAGCGAACACTTTTCAAATCAGGTACATAAAAATATTTACATATTTTTTTAGGATGATGAGGAAAAAAAAAGAGTTGTAATAAAACTTTATTATTTGACTAGTTATTTAATCTATATATATCTCGACTGTAATATTTTTGTTCCTATTAGTTTCACATTATCTTTTTGTTTTGTTTCTTTGGTTCTCAAATGTCTTTATCAAAACCAACTAATTCATAGTACTTTTCCGTACGCAAAAGTCTGCAATCATCAATGGCAAAACTATACAAGGGATTCATAATGAACACCGTAGATAAATGCCACAAGGCATGAGCATCTAATATCCAAAATATCGGAGGGAAATCTAAAAGCTCCAGACTCATACTCATGCCTAGCAGCAAATAGAAGGCTAAAATTTTGCGATAATATGGTCGCTGTTTGCGTACACGAAATGACCAAAGGAACCAACCCAGTGCACTAAGGATACCTAGAAAAAAGGGGATTACAGAAGGGATTTGTATTATGTTATGGTTGAAAACACTTACCCGTAATAATATTTGTTGTCATATTCAGCGAATAACTAAATCGTCCCATTGTTATGTAGGCAAAATAATTAATGTAAAATGATAAAAATGCCAGCGATATAAAAGTCTTTATTGGCCATGAATGTTTGTATAACATTCTGAAATGGGGAAATGTTAAAAAAGTCCAATATTTAAATATTTTACAAAATGTTACCTCATAACCATACAGTAAAGTGTCATAAGGACCATGGAATAGGCAAAAGAATAGTCCAGCAATTCAGTTAGCGGATTGTCGCGTGCATGAAAAACGATGGACCATATCCAGGCATTTATGGCAACCTAGAAAAAGGCAGTGTGATTAAAATAAATCTTCATTATCAAATACTGCAAACTGTCCATTTCCTTATAATAGATTTCTTAGAAGGTTAGTCCTTAAAAAAATTTGAACAAAAATCACGTATAATTACCGCTGAAAACAGATGCCAGATTTTATAGCACGGACTATCTGGCCTTACTTGTCGGCGAAATTTCCGAAGCCAACGAAAATGTGCCACCAAATTGAAGAATGAAAACAGCACCGAAGCTGGTTCTTGGAGACCAAATATACGAACAAATGGCCACTGGAAATTAGATGAAATATTCATAATTAATAAATAAAAAAGGATAGTTTAAATAAAGAATACGTTTAATTTTTCTTCCAGTTTCTCAAGACATGACAATGATCTATAAAGAGAAGACCTCTTAAATACCTCAAGATTTTCAATCTCTTAGAGTGCTTTTGGTATTTAAAGGAATTTTAAAGGTTTTCTTTACGTCTATCTCTAGAAGACCTCTGAAAGGGTTATCATTAATATGGCTTCCACCTCTAGAAGACAAAAAAGCTTTCAATTCGGAGAAAAATGTATTCTGCTATCAATAGTCATCTATCTCTAATAGACCTCTAAAATGATAGTACCATTCTAGAAATCCTGTATGTCCATTGTAGACCATTAAACAGTACTCTATTTCCAGAGTACCGATAGAAAATATCCTATCTAAAAAAAATCCTTAAAAGCTCTGCCATCGCTACAAGGTATTTACAAGCTACAAGATATGTTGTTTCAAGGAAATCATATCGGAATAATCATGCTTTTTTCTATTCCTTGCTTGCCTCTATCTCATTTAGTATTCAATTCCATATGAATCGAAAAAGAATGTCTCTTACTTTTCCATAAAACTGTGGCACCGGCCAATTCCTATCCTGGAATGCTTCTACCGTACGCCACATACAACCATACTGGCACTCATCGGCACAGGTCCATTGCAGAAGTTTGTCAAAGAAACTTTGTTGGTAGTACTTCACTGCCTGTTCTTGGATCTCCAAACCATCTGAAAATAATAAAATTTCAATATTATAAAAATGTAATTGTTAACAATTAATGACCAACCAACCAGCAGAACAATTTTGTCTCTCACAGTTGCGGATGCAATTGTTGAAGAATGAAGTCCTATCCCCGTTCGAACTTAAAACTAATGTAAAACATGAACTAAATATTATAAAACAGACAATAAATAAACAATATCTAAATGTTAACATTATGCACTATTAATTTCACTTTTGTTTTTCTAATAATAATCTATAAATGCCCATTATCTTTCTAATTCATCAAAAAACAACTTAATTGAGGCGGTGTGAAAAAACAACAACAACAACCACCATTATGTGCTATTAATTTCACTACAACATGGCAACACTGAAAAGAAAGACAGCACAGAAAGAAACCCTGAAAAAGATGTGGAATCATAAGAGAAATGCGAACAACATGAATGAAGGATAGAATCATAACAAAACGGCTGAGAACATATGTTTTTGAACACATTCACTAAGAGAGCGCGGAACTAGCTACTATCAGATGTGGCAACACTGAAAAGAAAGACAGCACAGAAAGAAAATCTGAATAAAGATGGGAATCAAGACAAAACAGCTGACAACATATGTTGTGTTGAACACATTCACTTAAAGAGCGTGGAACTAGCTACATTAAATTTGAACCACTGTGAAAATAATGTAAGGTGGCTTACACACCATTCAACAAAACAGTACAGGCGATTGGATTGGGCGATTGGATTATAATGCCCAACTGTGCATTTTTCTGTAAATTATCTTGTCAAATTGCACTGCATAGGAAATAGGTTCCCATCTCTGATTTGTGTATTTACAATGGTTTTATATAAATTTTATAATTCAGTCAGTCAGTCCATGAGAAAATTATTTGCAAAAAAGTACGGCGAAATTTTTTTAGCTGTATAACTCTATTAACATTCAAGTATATGTATGTCGTTTGTTGTTTTACAATAAAGTTGAAAGGATGGGAATAGTATAAGGTAGCACCATTGTAGAAGAATACAGGTAGATGCATCAACGCTTGGGATCATTGACGCTTGGGATCATTTTTTTTTTTCAATTATAAGTAGATTTTTATATGTTTTCTTATACTGCGTCAGTCGGAGGCTATTATAATCCACGTTTTTCAACAATTTTTATAAATTTAAATAATTTTTCATTCAACATTTTCAATTCCAAAATTGGATTGACAGTTCATTGTCCCAGCAGCTGTGTCGACGCGTCTACCTATATTCTTCTACCATGGGAAGTACACAGCGTATTATGCGGGTATGTATCACACGCCAGGCAATTCGTGCCTAATACGAATTGAGACGATACACGTACGTAGTTGCGCCAAAACTACCCTGATTTGTCTAGGCAGCTGACGTTCTTCAGCTGCAATGGATGGGGTTTGGACTCCGAGGATGGCATCGGTTAAAATACTCAGGGCACCTCTTCGGATTAGTCACCGTTACGTCGTTAAAAGTGACTGAGGTCTTTGTATCCTTTTTCACAGGGGTCGAGAGCGCCTTCACCGCTACCCAATGCAACACTCTAGATGGTCTAGCCACTTATTCTCCTCTACTAACCGGTTGACCAGAGAACTAGTTGAAGCCTCGGCCGAAAGTTCAATGTTTGACAGATGTACCTAAAATTCGACTTAAAGTGAGAATACATAAAAGGTTTTTTTGACTGGTTTAAGTCATCGACTGGTTTCTTCGGAGAAGAAAAAAAGAAGCGTAGGGCCAAAATCGAACTAAGTCGACCTGAAACTAATTTGTTCCTTTACGATGAAACCAACTCTACGAAGAAACCAACTGGAACATTGATATGTCAAAATTGTTAAAAGTTTTTTTTGAAAAAAAATGAGTGAATTTTATATGTTTTCTTATACGACGGCAATCGGAGTTTGTTATGATTTTTATTTATCCACAATTTTTATATATTTCAATAATTTTTCATTCAAAGTTTTCAATTCCAAAATTGGTTTTGCACCTATCTGCATTCTTCTACCATGGAACAAAGCTATTATTACAATAATTTGCCATTTTGCCACAAGCGGCTATTTAAGGTTCACCCATAACACATGTTTTCACAAGGAATTAACAACGGAAAACATTTTAAAAGGGAACCAAACTAAACGATTGATTTTCGAAACGGGAGAATGAAGAAAATATAAAAAACATCTGTTAGTCGATTTTCATCTATTCACACGCAATAACTACATACTTGTTTCCTTTTTGGATCGAAGCGTGAAAAAATGTGAACTAAATAAAAAAAAATAGAAAACATCTGCAAGCACTTAAAATACTTAATTCTTGAAAAATAAAAATTTATAGTATTACTTTTTTACAATTATACAACAAGAAAGGGAAATAATTTAGTTTTAAGTAGAAAAATGTGTGCAAAAATCAAATAACTACACAAACAAACGAGGAAAAATGTGTGTATATAAAAAATAACAAAAATAAAAAACTTTTCGGTTTGGTTTATATGTGTGTGAATGTGTGCTAGAGTTGTCCCAGCTGGCAGTTGTATAAAGAAATAAAAATGAATGGATGTATCTTAAAGATATAAATGTATCCAAAGAAATAAAATAATTTCGTTTGAAAGTACATAATGCAAAAATGCAATACCATAACTGTCCCAGACAATATTTCTTCTTTCAATGCCACAATATCAACAAAAACCACAACATCGAGAGCCGCAGCAGCAGAAAAAACTTCATTAACGTCAACGCCGACGCAAGATACAAAAACAAATAGGTTGGTTGTCATTAACTCGGCCACTACTGCTCTGCATAAGCATAATTATTATCATCCACTACAGAAACAACAACAACAACGCAGACGACGATCATATTTTAAGGTGAGTTGCTGTTGTTGGCATTCCTTCTTGTCTGTTCATTTCTTTTTTTATAATAATCTCGTAAATCTCTTTTCATTCATGTTAAATGACAGTTATTGTTGTTGTCGTGGGTAATGTTTGTTACCTGGTTTTTAGGCCTTCCCCCATCATGCCGAGCCAAGTGGTGCTCGGACGTGTGTGTGTGTGCGTTTTGTTTACGTTCTAAAATTCAAAGTGATGAACCTACATTTGTTTGACGAGGGTCGTGTAATAAGTTGAAAAAATAATTTATGAGCTAATTGTTGAAACATTTTTTGTTAATTTTAGAGAGAGAGAGAGGAATAACATCACAAACAAAATTGTGTAATTGCAGGTGAGAGAATAATTAAGGGGGATTTTCGTGAGAACAATTTTTCGAAGTATCCTCAGTGCAATTATCGAGGAATTTCTTGAGGAATTTTTAAAAGAACAACGAAGGTGATCGGGATTTCTTGAAGAAAATATTTTTGAGGACGATTGCGGATGATTCTATTTAATTAATTAAGGTTTAAGAAATATTGAGAGAGACAAACAAAAAAACAACTGGTTAATTGGATATGGGAGAAAAGAGTAACTTGGAGCAATAATCGTGGAGTTTGTAAAAATATTTTTTGAAAGAATGGAATTGTTAATAATGTTCCTTTTTCTAGGACCATCGTGGATTTTTTAAGCACTTTTTTATTCATCGAGAATTTTTTAGAATATTTTCTCAAGAACCATCACAGCAATAATAATGGATGTTTTAAAAACATTTTTGAAGAATATGTACTTTCAAAGGCCATCATGGATTATTTAAGAACTAATGTTTACAGGTTTTAAGATGTTTGGATTGTTGGGAAAGTTTTTCAAGAACCATCAGAGCAATAATAGTGGATTTTTAGAGACATACTTTTCAAAGACCGTCCTGAATTTTTATACCCTCCACCTTGGAAAGGAGGGTATATTAACTTTGTCATAGACCCCATAAAGTATATATATTCATAATCAGCATAAAATTCTAAGTCGATTTAACGATGTCCGTCTGTCTGTCTGTCCGTCTGTCTGTCTGTCTGTCTGTCCGTCTGTCTGTTGAAATCACGATACAGCCCACATTATTTGACGTAGAGCTCCAAAATTTAGCAGAGCTATTTGCATTGTGTCTAGGATGGTTGGTATTGAAAATGAGATATATCGGTCCACGTTCTGGTATAGTCCCCATATAACGGTACCTCCCGATATTCGGTATTTTGATGATTTATGCCACATTTTTTCACGGATTTGTCTTAAAATTGGTATTTGTAGGTCATAGCGGGTCCCTGAGCGTGTGGCAAAACATTGCATGTATAGGTCCACGTTGTGGTATAGCCCCCATATAAAGGTACCTCCCGATATTTAGTATTTTAGTTTTTTTACCACATTTTTTCACGGATTTGTCTGAAAATCGGTAATTGTTGGTCATAATGGGTTCCAGCTCCGGTAGCGAAACATTTTATGTATAGGTCCACGTTTTGGTATAGTCCCCATATAACGGTACCTCCAATATTCGGTATTTTGATGATTTTTGACATATTTTTTCACGAATTTCTCTGAAAATTGGTAGTTGTAGATCATAATGGGTCCCAGTTCGTGTGGCGAGTCATTGTAATTATAGGTCCACGTTTTGGTATAGCCCCCATATAACGGTACCTCCCGATATTCGGTAATTTGGCGATTTTTGGCACATTTTTTTAAGTAATTTTCATAATGGGCTCTAGCTCCGATGGCGAAACATTGCATGTGTAGGTCCACTATTTGGTATGGCCCCCATATAACGATACCTTCCGATATTCGGCATTTTAATGGTTTTTGCCACATTTCTTCTAATGTTTCCTTTACACTATGGTGGACGGTATTAAAAGTTTGGCCCGACCGAACTTAATGTTTTTTTACTTGTTTTAATATATTTTCGAAGCCATCATGAGTTCTTTCATGACGATATTTTAAAGAAGACCAATTAAGCAACAAATTTTAATTTTTTAAAATCCCAAGTTTTTCAAGAATTATTTTATAAAAGTAGTTTTGGAATGAAAAGAATATTTTAATCAAAGAATTTTTCAAGGAACATCGAAGACCAACAAAACAGCAATCGCTCATACAACTCAAATGGTACCAAATTGTGTCCACTTATTGTACGAATATGTCATAAGCCTATCTCAATTATTCTATTTGGTAGTATTCGGCCACTTTGCAAATTCACCTCCATATCTCTACTCTAGATATCAAAACGCAAAAATTTCAAAATACTTTACATAACATTTAGTAAAATATCCATTTCGTAGGTATCCCTTCTGTATATCTCTGATTGCACCTTTAGCGATAAATATTATGATGAACAAATTATGTTTTTCTACACGAGACTCATTTCGATTTCGAATTGAAGTATCATTTCTTGTTAAGAATTTTATAACTGAATCATTTTTTTCCAATTCGAAATTTGTTTCCACCATCGGTGGTGACATTACACAACTACGCCTTGTGTCTTTTATTTTTCTTTTGTTTTTTTTTTTTCTATGACATATTGACATATTTACATAAAATTATAAAACCAAAGAATACAACTAATTAAAATGCATTAAAACTATCGCGTTGGGTTCGTTTTCTTTTGTGTTTCATTTAATATTCAAAAGACGAAATTAGTATTCCCATGCCATGTTTAGTGGCGCATATCGATAATGACATCATCAAGAACATTCAATTAGTTCCGACGATCATATTCGACTAGTACACAATATCTATTTTTATATTTCTTCCCCTTATTTGTTTTGCTGACAATGTGAAATATCGTTTTGAAAGAATATCCAAATTGCCCAAAAAAATAGAAATGGCATGGCAAGTGTTATGAGAGACGTTGATGATAGTGCGATTTTCTTGGAGATCTTTCATGGAATGTTTAATTGCTTATTTTCATGTTGTTCCAATTACTGACAAATCAATTTGTTTATTTAACATTTAAAGTGGTTTGTTAGTTAGGCTTATTTTTTTTTTTTTTTTTCAAATGAAAGAAAAAAAATTTTAAGAGATTTGAAAATCATTTTTTAAATATTTTTGGAGGATCATCAAAACGATAAACATAAACATACTTTTCAAGAACGACCAGGGCCATAATGGTGGATATATAAGAATATCTTTCAAGTATCATTATTTAAGACAAAAATTGTCAAAAAATATTTAAACAAAACAGTCATGAATTTCAGGGCAATAATCATGAATTTAATATGAACATTGTTTAGGAATATTCTCATATAGACCATCAGAACGTTTAAAGATATTTTGTGAAAGACCATCAACCCAATAATCATTGATTTTGGTCAAGGAACATTGACGACCAACAAAACAGCTATTGCCTATATAACTCAAATAGTACCAACATTTGTGCTTTTAGTTCGAATTGTCACATTTATTCTTTTAGCACTTTTCGATCACTTTTTTTTAAAAAAATTTCAAATTTTAACTTCTCATTTAGACCCGAAATCACAAAATTTTCGAAACACCATCCATAAAATGTGGTACCTTTTGTACATTCCATGCACTTGATTATCTTTCCTAAATACAAAGGGATCAGCATTCCCTGATGCTGTTTATCCCTAGACCTTAACAGACCTTAAGCCCGTCTCTCATAGAATACCTAACGATCATCTATTGTTCATAGAAGACCTTAAGTTCATCTGATGTCCATAGAACCCCTTAAAGTCATCTGTTTCCTATAGAATAGCTTGATGTTATCGAGAGCCCATAGGGTCATCTATTGCCCATAGAAGAGTTTAAGACCATCAGAAGACCTTAAGGTCGTCTATCCTTCATAGTAGACAATAAGGTCATCTATTCTCCATAGAAGACTTCAAACCAAAAATTGTCAATAGAAGACCTTAAACCACAATCCACCACAATCCACAAAAGACGTTATGAATATCTATTGTCCCTAGAAGACCTTGAGGTCGTCTACTGTCCATAGATGAACTTAGGATTATCCTTTGTCCATTGAAGACCTTAAGGTCATCTATTGCCCCTAGATAAGTTTTAAGTCATCTCTTGGTCACAGAACACCTTATGGTCAACTTTTGTCTATAGAAAACCTTCCATAGAAAACCTCAGGGTCATATTTTGTCTTAAGAAGACCTTAGGGTCATCGAATGTCCATGAAAGACCTAAAGATCATATATTGTCCATAAAAGACCTTATGGTCATCCATTGTCCATAGAAGACCTTAAGGTTATATTTTGTCCATAAAAGACTTTAGGGTTATGTATTGTCGCTGGAAGACCTTCAGGCCATCTATTGTCCATAGAAGAACTTAGGGTTATCTATTGTCTCTAGAAAACACTAAGGTCATCAATTGTTCATAGATGTCCAAAGAAGACTTTAGGGCCATATCTTAAATATAGAAGACCTGAAGGCCATCTTCTATACATTGGGGACCCAAAGGGCCTATATATAGCAACGTTGAAATTGACAAAAATTTGAATAGAGGCTACAGAACAGATTGTCGAAAACGTTATTTCCGCTATCTCTGATACTTCTGAAATCAGGGTGGAAAAGTCCCAAATGCCATCCATGGAAATGTGTCCAGTTTGAGCGCCAAAACAATAGAGTCTGTAATTTAAATCCTAATTTTAGATCATCTGAAATTAAATACAATACGCTAAAAATCATGAGAGGATATTTTTTCCGTTTAGACGTCAAAAAAAATTTAATTTTTGTAATTCAAATCCAAAAAAGTGAAAGTTACTTCAACAATCAGAGAGAAACCCTTATTTTGGATTCTTGAAAATCACCAAATTCCATGCGTGGATATTTTCCCTTCTTGGGCGCCAATGAAATCCAAGTCCCAATGTTGGATTTTCGGAAATTAAAGCAAATTTGATTAGAAACATTAGAGGAATGTTCTCCCCAAGTAACTTCGAAAGGGGGCTAAATCTTCAACGAATCTTTTTGGAAGAAGTTAAATATTTTCTCAGCTTGGGCGCCAAATTTCGTATTTTATTTGCAATTCAAATGAAATCCAAGTCTCAAAGTTGGATCTCCGGAAATTAAAGCAAATTTGATTAGACACATGAGCGGAATGTTCTCCCCAACTAACTTCGAAAGGGGGCTACATCTTTACTACCTAAACTACCCACTGAGATACCGAAAACCTACTTTATTTTGGACATACATTACTGCTGATTGGTTGGAAATTTGGACCAAAATTGTTTCAAAAGTCTGAAAATCAAGAGGGACTTTGCGTAAATGTGGGTCGATGTAGCCCATTTTCTCATAACAAACTTTTTAAAAAAGACTTGATGAGGTTCACAATGAATACGACAGAATGGCAAATTTAACATGCCCTCCATCCTTAAGGTGGACGGCCATGCATAAATCGGCTCAGCATGTGGTTTCTTGCAGATTAACAAAAGAATTTATGTGGCCATCATAGTTCCTTTTACACGTTACAAAGATACGCACGGAGACATAATAATCCCTGTACCACACACTGTTGTGGGTTATAAAACACACGCATTGTAACGCCTCTTCAATTACAACCTCTGTGCACCTTCGGCACCTGTCCATGGTGGTTTTAATGCAAATTAACTTTAAATTGTTCATCTCAAAACTACATTACAACCGAAATGGAGATAATGCGTGTTTGTTCGCAAGAAGTTCATCTTCATCCACCTTATGGTTCGTTCCCCTTAATTATTTTCTAATCCTCTTACTTCCTAATTTTCAAATGACCCTTTTTTCAACGAACTATTCTGGCTACCTGCATCAATGCTTAGTCATGCATGACACACCACTTCCACCATCACACGCACACCATACTGCTCCAAATACCATGTTTTGTAAAGAAGAACCTCAAAAGATCATAGAGATCGTCGAGTTTCAATGCATTCCTCAGCTAATGATGTTTTAATTGTGAAACGATTCGATTTCAATCCCCGTGCACAAACACTTTTACTCACGCACACACACACACACACACACACACACACACACACACACACACGTGAATAGCTATTTTGCATATTCCATAGAATTCTTTGTCGTCAGTCTTCAATCTATGTATGGCTGAAGAAGGTGTTACAAAGGGGTCTGTGAGTTGCATTTCCAACAAAGCCAAGCACAAGCATACATATTTTTTTTATTGGAAAAACCAAAACAAGTTTTGGTTTCAGAAGCAAACGGAGCGAACGATCGACCGACCGGCATTTCAATTGATGTAAGAATTGATAAGGTGTGCTTTTATCTCTACCTTAAACGGAGGAAAAGTGGTTGAGCGTCATATTTTTTATTGTTTATGTTATTTTGTTTCAATACAAATAAATAAACAAAATTAAACAAAATCGTAGAAAATTGATAACGTCTTACCGACATGCATCAGGCATGCCATTGACAGTAGAATTTTTTCATTTTTTTTTTTTTTTTTTAATATTTTTCCTATATTCATTATTTTTCTTCTTTTTTTACAGCGTGAACCGATATTCGTACTCATCATAATGCGGTTAAATTTGAAGGCAGTTTTGTTATTACTGACAGTAGCTGTGGTAAGTTTGGAATGCATTTTATTTTTATTTAAATACCATTTTAATTACATTTCACAACGGCTAAAATAATGAATTGAGACATGCAGCGGAGTCCATACTCCAGCATTGGGGAAATGAAACCTCATATAGTCAAGGTTTCGTTTCAAATATTATGTATTGTAACGTAGCAGAAAGGCAGACGTTGGGCGCCACAAGTGCTTTAAAATGAACTAAAATAGAATATTACCAATTGGGCGCCATTTAAAAAAAAAAAAAAACAAAGTAATTAACGCCATGACATTGTGAATGGACCGAGCTTCCTCCATCCATCGGTGTAGAGAAGAAGCTCTATGGCATAGAAATTCAAAGATATTTCAGTTTCCAATTTCATAAAAAATTAAAGTTTGGCAGAGTCCATACTCTAGCATTGGGGAAATGAAATCCATATAGTCAAGGTTTCGTTTCCAACATTATGTATTGTAACGTAGCAGCAAAGCAGACGTTGGGCGCCACAAATTAAAAAAAAAAAATACAACTGAATATCACTGATTGGGCGCAATTTTGGTAAAAAAAAAACAAAGTAATCCACACCATGACATTTTGAATGGACCGAACTTCCTCCATCCAACGGTGTAAAGAAGGACATCTGTGGCATAGAAATCCAAAGATATTTTAGTTTCCAGTATTTCAGATTAATTGCAGTTGAACGTCGAGCACCCGTGGTGCTTTTAAAAAGTGAAATTAAATATCAATGATAGGGCGCCATTTCGAAAAAGAAAATAAAACAAAGTCATGCGCACCATGACATTATGACAAACACAATTAAACGTTGGGCGCCACAAGTCACTGTGGTTAAACAAAAATCTAAACCATGACATTGTGAATGGGTCGTACCTATTCCGACATAACGTTTAAAGGAATGGCCTGCATGATATAGAAATCATAAGATCTACAATTTCCTGGCATAGATTGTAGTACTCATTACAAGCTTAAAACTTTAAATACGAAATTTGAAACGATTTCGGTCAAAAATGTCGCTAAAATCATCAAACTACCGAATATTGGGTGGTACCGTTGTATGGGAGCTATACGATATCTTTGACCTATATAGACAGTTATCTTTAAGGGGGTAAAGTACTCAGAAGAATACCTTGTATGGATTTTCGGACAATTCCATTGAAAAGTTTGGCTACAATCATCAAAATACCGAATATGGGGGGGGGGGGGGTGCCATTGTATGCGGGCTTTATAAATATGCTCTTCCAGATTTCCGAAAGAACTCCTTGTCATGACTTTCAGACAATTCCATTGAAGAATTTAGCTACAATCTCAAAATACCCAATATTGGAATATACCGTTATATGGGGAATATACGATATCGTGGACCTATATAAATATGCTCTTCAAGTAACTCCGAAGAAAGTCTTTGTGTGAATTTTCAGATAATTCTATTGAAAATATTGCTACAATCATCAAAATACCGAATATCGTGAGGTATCGTTATATGGGACCCAAACGATATCGTGCACCGATATAGTCCATCTTCGAAGTCGACCTGCCTACACACAAAAGAGTAGCTTCCTATCTTAATTCGTTTTGACCCTAGCGTGATTACAACAGACGGACGTCCATATGTCCGGACGGAAAGGACTAGGAATTTTTACGTTGATCAAGAAAATATATATTTTGCTAGGTCTAAAATTATCATTTTGATGAGTTACAAACGAAATGACGAACTTAATATACCTCCATACTATGTATGGTGGAGGGTATAAACTACAAAGAAATTATCAATGGATCGAAGTTCCCCTCACAGATTTATAAGAAAATACCTGTATGATACAGAAATCCAAAAAGATATACAGGTTTCCAATATTTCGATTCAATTAAAATTAAATGTTGGGCGCCACAAGTGCTTTGGTTTTTTGGGCGCCACCTTGGTTGAAAAAAACCAAATTAATCCAAACCATGACTTTGTGAATGTATCAAACACTTTCCTCACCCAGACGTGTTATTAGGAACTTCTATGATATAGCAAACCAATTATATTCCAGGTCCCAATATTAAAAATTAACTGAAGTTAAACGTTGGGCGCCACAATTGCTTGAAAAAAAGTTAAATAAAATATCACGGATTTGGGGCGTGATTTTAGTATTTTTTTCCTGTTTGGGCGCCAAAAATCTAATTTCTCATTCTAATAAAATCAATCTATAATCTTACCCTTTGCGAAACTTAAAGAAAATTTCACTAGAGTTGTTCCCAGTTTGGGCGATAAAGACTTATTTTCATTCCTAATTAAGTCCAAAGGTGGGAATACATAAAGCGCTTATCTGGCTAACTTAAGTCATTGGCTGGTTTCTTCGGAAATTAACAAAGGAGCCTAGGGCTAAAATCGAACTAAGTCAACCTTAAACTCCTTTGTTCATCTACGAAGAAGCCAGCCGATGACTTAAGCCAATCAAATATGCGCTTTATGTATTTCCACCCTTAGTCCCAACGTTGACTTTTCGGAAATCGAAAGAAATTTTACCAGATTCTTGAAAAGAGGTTTTCCCAAATGTTATTTCCGCAATCTCTGAATCTTCTGAAATCACGGTGGAAAAGTGCCAAAAGCCATCCCTGGAAATTTGTCCAGTTTGGGCGCCGAAACAATATAGACTCATATTTAAGCCCTAATATTAGATTATCTGAGATTAAAGACAATACCCCAGAAATCACGAAAGGATATTTTTCCGTTTAGGCGACAAAAAAAAGTAATTTCATCTTGTAATTCAGAACCAAAAAAAAATCCAAGAAAATGAAAATTACCTCAACAGTCAGAGTGAACCCCTTATTTTGGATTCCTTAAAATTGAAGGTAAAATCACAAAAACCATGCGTGGATATTTTCCCAGTTTGGGCGCCAAAAATCGCATTTAATTTGAAATTCAAATGAAATCCAAGTCCCAATGTTGAATCTCCGGAAAATAAAAGAAATTTGATTAGAAGCATAAGACGTATCTTCTCTCCCAAGTAACTTCGAGAGTGGTGGAATGAAATTTATTCCTTTTAGGCGCCACAAATATCCAATATAGTTTGTAATTTAATGAGAATTTTTTTGCAGCTTGAGCGCCGAAAAAATCCTAATTTCCTAATTAAATAAAATAAAAGCCAAGTTCTGACATTTGCTCTCCCAAAATCGAAAGAAATCCTACAAAAAGTTTGTAAAGAAGAATTTTCCCCAAAGTTGGGCGCCAAAAATTTCAGAATAATCCCGAATTCATCTACTAATTCCGTCCCTAGGAAATTGAATCAAAAGTGACTGAACCCTGCTTGGTTTACTCTCAGTTTAACTCTCAGCTATAATGTCCCTATCCTATTCTCTCGAGTAACTCTTCACTACCAACACAAAAGCTTTGATTGTGTATGTGTGTGTATTGTCTAGAGAGAGAAACTCTCCATCTCTACGCAAAATTTAAAAATCATGAAATCAAGCTTCACTTCATTGAAAACTGAAAAGCTGCTCCAAAAAGCTGTTTCCAATGTTTTTGTTAAACAAGTGAACAGTTCTGATGGTGAGTTTACTAATCGGTGGCGAGTTTTATACACAAAACTATGATTGTGTGAGAGTGGTGTCAAATTTCACATGGGAAGTGTTTTGGCTAGCCCTGGTCTAAACCCCAGTACATAGTTTTTCCTGAAAAGTTAGGAAAGTTTTTGAAACCGGGACCAAAAGGCATTAAAGATCCTCACCGCTAACAGAACAAGCAACATGAACTTTTTAAGAATATTTGTTCAAGACAGTAGATAATATTTTTTATGGACCGATCTATCGGATATTTTTGATTATTTCCTAAGGATATAATATTTTTCATGGACTAATAGGACAAACGTGAATTTTTAAAAATATATTTTTTTCAAGGACCAACAGACCTTAACCTTTTTTTTTTTAAATGTATATAACTTTATTTAATTTTAATCGTATATATTTCTCCATATTGTTCTCCTTTCAGGTTGTTATAACATGTGCCGTTTATATGCGCTGTGCCGAATTTATATTTCCCCGTGACTTAGTTAGACATTGGGATCCCAAGCTGTATGCCGTTGGCGGTGGTTTGGATCTACTCAATACCAATAACATAGAAGGTGATGGCGGTGGTGGGGGCGGGTCTAGTGACAATTCAGTACCATTACAGGACATCAAGTGCCTAATAAATCAAGAGTATACCATAAATTGTAAACGTGATGAAGAGGCCCACGAAATCTATGTGCCTTTTTCATTTTTGCGCACATATTTCGATATATCCGGTTCGATGAGTAATCCCTCATCGCCGCAGACCTTGGAGGCAATGAATAATGATGTACTTGCTGGTGGTGGGGGCGGAGTTGCCGAACCACAATTCCTGTGGATGCATAGTACGGCAAAAATTAATTTACCCAAGGCCAAATATGATGCTCGCGGTCTATTTATGTATTTCGAGAATTATAATGTGGAGGTGAGTAGAAAATTCAAATTGTTTTCAATATGAAAATGTCTTATTTATTTTTTTCCTTTTGTGTCTAGGCTCGAGATCGTGTCAAATGTATAAGTGCTGCCGAGGGTGTACCAATCAGTACACAATGGGAGAAACGGGGCTACTTTTATCCCACACAAATAGCGCAATTTGCTTTGTCACATTATAGTAAGAATTTAACAGAACCGGCACCGAGGATAAATGTAAGTTACTCTACAAGAAAAAGGTTTTTGAAACTGTTTCTGTATGACGATGCGAACACCCTCCAACATTTGGAACAAATTTGGAAATTTTCAAAAAAAAACTTAAAAATACCGAATATATCTATACGAAGACGTGGACCTACATAGGCAACTTTTGTCATAAGCCATTACAATATTCAAATACGAAACATGAAAAAAATCCGGTGAACAATGTATGAAACTTGAAAAGAAAATCCGAAAATAATGTACCGTTATTCAGTGCTATACGAAGACCTGGACCTGCATAGACAATTTTCTGTCATAGGCTGTAGTACCTATTTCGAACTTAAAATACAACATCTTAAACAGTTTTGGTGAACATAGTACCTAAAATCGTCAAAATACCGAATATAGGGGACTGCTGATATATGGGGCTATACGAAGACCTGGACCTTCATATGCAATTTTCTGTCAAAAGTTATGGCGTTGCCAGATGGGTCCGTCGAATATGGACATACAGAAAGGAAAATCCGAAAATAATGTACCGTTATATCTGGGTTATGCGAAGACCTGGACCTGCTTAGGCAATTTTCTGTCATAGGCTGTAGTATCCATAAAAAACTTAAAATACAAAATTTGAAACAACTCCGGTGAACAATGCCGCTAAAATAATCAAAATACCGAATATTGGGATGTACCCTTATATGGGGGCTATACGAAGACGAGGACCTGTATACGCATTTTTTTTTTTTTTGGTCATAGGCTGTAGTAAACATTACGAATTCTAAATACGAAATTTGAAACAACTTCGGAGAATAATGTCGCTAAAATCATCAAAATACCGAATATCGCGGGGGTACCGTTGTATGTGGCCTATATAGTATAGTGGACCTATTTAGATATTTCTCTTCCAGGGGGTAAAGTGCTTGGAAAGAATTTCTATTATAGATTGTTAGACAATTCCATTGAAAAAGTTAAATAAAATCATCCAAATACTGAATATAGGGAAGTACCATTATATGGAGGATATACGATATGGTAGACCTATATAAACAATTCTCTTCCAAGTGGTAAAGTGCTCAGGAAGAACTCTTTGTGTGGATTTTCAGACAATTCTATTGGAAAATATAGTTAAAATCATATCAAAATATCGAATATCGGAGGGTACCGCTATATGGGAGCTATACGATGTCGTGGACCAATATAGATCATTTTCTATTTTAATATTTTTTAATTTTTTTGCGTTAAATTCAAAATTTGAAAAATCCACTTGGGATGATGATTTTCTTTCGTATTTGTCATTCAAAAATAGGTCCATCATTTTACTATCAAAACTTAGTACTTCTTAAGGCCTTTTCATTTGTTTTAATAAAAATTATACTGTGCAAATAAAAATGTATTTCGAAATGGAATTCGCTAACCCATGTCCTTATCCTTACAGATACTGGAAAATGCCGATGATGTACGCAACACTTGGCAAATACCAAAAGGCAGTAATCTCTCACGCATTTGGCATCCGAAATTCAACTCAACTGTCATCCAATACGAAACTGGCGCTGATTTTGACAGTGCCATTACCCTTAATAATATCAATCAAGCCATGGACTTGGTCTTGAGCGTTGATTTACTCCTAATAACGAACAGCAGCAGCCTATTGGTTACCATTGAAAATCATGAAACCAAACGTACTTATCGTGTTCATTATATACCTGCCGATTTGCTGCTAAGTGTACAAGATGATAACATCTATTATGGTTTGGGTGGAACACAAACTCTCAATAAATGGCGACACTTGACGCGCGACCTGCACATAGATGTACAAAAGGGTCTGGCTCTGGAGTCACCGAAAAAATCCTCCTTAGCGAATAAGGTTAAACGTTCCGATCTACGTGTTGTCTCCATTGCATTTATGGGCATTGGTTTCTTCGATAATGTCTCACTGTCCACGAGTAATCATTTGGCACATTTTTACGATGCAGCCGAATGGTTTATTTCACATCAAGACTTGCGAACTGGTGGCTGGCCAAATCCAGTGCGACGTAGTTTAAATGGTTTTGCTGAACTAAAACCCGGCTGGCTATCGGCCATGGGTCAGGGCCATGCAATATCGGTGTTGGCTCGTGCCTACTGGCATTCGGGTGATAAACGTTATTTAAGGGCTGCCACATTGGGTCTGAAACCGTATCGTGTACTCTCGAAAGATGGTGGGGTGCTGGCGCAGTTTATGGATAAATACAATTGGTAAGTTTGAATTAAGACAAACGTGGATTGGTTTAGGGATATTTTTGAAGGACTATTAGACATTGAATCGTCGGTTTTTAAGACTTTGTTCGAGGATCAACATACGTGCAATTTTTAAAAACATTTTATTCAAACTCTGATTTTTTACGACCAACAAACTTGGATTTTTAGATTTTTTTTAAAGGACCATTAGAACTACATTCTTGCACTTTTTAAGACTGTCACGGTCACGGATTTAGTTTTTTTTAGGAAATTTTACATATCTGGCTGTGAATTAGTTAAAAATATTTCCCATTAGATTTTTTCAAGAATTTTTTAGGAGCCATTAGACTTTATTTCGTAATTCTTAAGGGACCCGTAAGCCTATCACTCAGGTTGTGTTTAAAAGGCTTTTTCCTAGCAGACCATGATTTTGAGTGCTTATATCACTTTGTGTCAAGGGCCACTGGACCTATAATCGCAAATTTAAAAAAAATATATATTTTTTTTTTGTCAACGGATTAATTTGTCAGAATATTTTTTGCCGAACTATAAAAATTTATGGGCTCACTATGCGATTGATAATTGTTTCGTGCCACTAAGGGCTTTATCTCCAGTTTTTTGTGTGCAGAAATAAAAGCTAATCCGATCTGTCAGAAACGTATGCCGGTAATAGTCATATAACCCGTTCTTTTTTATTAAAGAACCGGACTTCCTAGACCTGACAATTCCCAATGTGAATGAGTATTTTCAGTTTTTATACCCTACACCACAAGGTGGTCAGGGTATGTTTGCGCATTTCTTCACAAGATAATCGGTCAAAATTTTGATATAGCTCCCATATATATCTTCGTCCGGTTAGCCTTGTATTATGCATCAAACGTGTAATATCGGCCCGCATAGCATGGAATTTTGCATATACGACTAAATTAAGCCTGGAAATAAGTGTTTGATCCAAATCGGTTCAGATATAGCTATAGCTCTGTAACAAAGATATTTGGGCAAATACAGCTAAGAAAAAAACTCTCCCAAAATTTATGGAGATCGGTTCAGATTTAGATATATAGCTCCCTTATATATTGTTCATTCGATTAACCTTCTATTGTGCACCAACCGTGTTATAGGTTGAAATAAAAAAAACTGCTACAAAGTCATACGCCATAATTTTTACATTTTTTTAATTTTATTGAATTAAAGCAAAAAATTTCGGAAATAGCATCAAATTTTAAAATAAGTTTAGATTTGTTCGAATTGGTCACCTTTGGCACGAATTATGGCCTTCAAACGGCCAGTCAATGTTGTTCTGCTCTAGTAAATATGCAAAGTGGTGTAGGGTATCATAAAGTCCATCCCGCCCGACTTTTAGACATTCTTCACTATTTTTTTCTCTTTATTTTGCTGTTCTGAAATGAAAAAAAAAAACAATATTTTTTATATACAAAGAATAGAAATTCCAGTTTTTATTCCACATTTAGGTCTTACAGAAAAATTTTCGAGAACAAAAGATAACAACATGGGTTCATGCTGGGATACCGAATTATTTAAATTTGTAAACCATTTGTTCTCCTTAATAAAGAAGGCTACAAAAGCTTGTCCCTATCTTATTTCAGTATTATTATTTGTTTTTATAAAAATATTTTTTGTCTTCTGCAGGTATGAAGAATATCCAACAACGCCAGCTTCATTTGTATTAAACGGTTTCATATATTCCCTGTTGGGTCTATATGACCTAAACACCACGGCGCCCTCCTTTATTGCCAAAGAGGCTGGCAAACTCTTCGATCAGGGTATGTTGTCGCTAAAGAAAATGTTGCTGCTATATGACACCGGTTCGGGTACCAGTTACGATTTGCGACATTTAAGCTTAGGCGTTGCCCCAAATCTAGCACGATGGGACTATCATGCAACACATGTTAATCAGCTGCTCTTGTTGGCCACCATTGACAGCGATCCCATTATTGCACAAACGGCCGAACGTTGGAAGGGTTACATGTTTGGTAAACGGGCAAAACATAATTAGTACTTTTTTAGTTTCCATTTGAATTTTGCTTTACACAAATTCCTCGGTACCATTTCTTTTGGTACTCTATTGTCTTTTCCTATGCTCTTGGAAAACAAAAAGCAAAAGAAGAAATGAAAAAAAAAAAACAAAAGTGATATCGCACATCTTAACTTAAGTATTTTGTTATTTATTTTTGTACTTTGATAAACGCTGAGATATGACGAAGGAGAAAAATAACACAAAACGAAAAAAAAACAGACTTTCCTAAAGCAAAAAATGTTTTTTTAGAATTTATGATGAAATCTATATTCTTGTCCACTTTTTTTATTTTTTCGTTTTAAACATAACCATACTGTTCAAAACAGTATTCGAATGATGTAGTATTAGATGATTTTCTTTTTTATTTTATTTAATAAGTTTTGTATTATATTTTATTGTATGTATGTATTCTTTTTTTCTACTGTGTGTATACTATTGTTCGTAAAGAAAAAGTTTTGCTGTTTATTTCGGTGCTTATAAATACTTAGAATATATAAATATCAGTTTTTTTATATTATTTTGATACTAAGTTTTTTTACATACATATATAGAACTAAAAGTGTACCTCTTTAATATGCAATTACGTAAAGAAATGTTCTTTTTTTAATAAACAAAAAAAAAAAAAACAAATAACTTAAGAAACTAACTTGTTCGTAAACCTTAAGAATAACTTAAAGCAATAGCCAAGATATTAATTTAACATGGATTTAAATTTGTTATAATTTACACTTTGTATTTACATATTACACCACTTTCCAGCCAAAGGATATTTTGACAGTAATTTTTATATCAAATTGTAGCTCTGACATTCAATGTGATAAAAGAACGAAAACAGACATGTGTTTTCCAGGACCATGCCATTAAAAAAATGATGATTTTCTCAGATTTAGTTTGGGGTTTTTATTTCCTCCCTGAGACAGAGATGTAACTCTTGTCATTTGCAGGGTGAGATAAAAAAAAACTGCAACAAAGTCAAACACTATAATTTTTACATTTTTTTTAAATTTTATTAAATGAAAGCAAAAAATGTCGGAAATAGCATCAAATTTTAGACAAGGTTTAGATTTTTTCGAATTGGTCACCTTTGGCACGAATTATGCCCTTCAAACGTCACACTCTGCCCGAATGTTGTTCTGCGGTATTTTGACCCATTCACGGCGAAGCGCTTGCTTGAAGTGATCGACACTTTGGTATTTTTTAGTGCCAACCTCACTTTTCAAAATGCTCCATTCATAATAGTCCAACGGATTGGAACCTCATTTTGTAACCATTCTTGGGTGGTGGGTGCTAAGTGCGATGATGCTGAGTCCTGTTGGAATCTCCAAGGTCTGCGGCCAAAATGTTTGCATGCCCAAGGCTTTAATACACCCTCCAGAATATTTTCCCGACAATATTCGGCATTTATTCTGATGCCACGGTCGATGCGAGCGGAGAGCGACCATCGGCTGTTATGACGGCCCACAACATCACCATGGCCAGCGCTTGAGTTGTGGTGGCCAACCATACGTGCACATTTTCAGCTGACCTCTTTGGCAAGTAAACACGATCATTTTTTTTTTTTTTTTTTTTTTTTTTTTTACAAACTGCTGCGACAAATAATGTTTTCTCATCGGAGAAAACCCAATTTGGCAGTTCAGTACTGTAGAAAGTAGTTTCCATTATTTAACCCAGAAATTTTACCGATTAACAGATATGTTTCTGAATGTATTGTAACTTGAGTAAAAGCATACTATTAGTTGGATACAGAAGGTATGCCAACTTGGACAAATATGTAAACCAGTATGATACGTTGTCATACGGAAGGTATGGCAACATGGATGAATCAAACACACTACACCTCCCTTTTTAACAAAGAATAATCAACGGTTTAAGTTGATTATTCTTAGTTGAGTTTAATTCGTATAATTTTATAATTCATGAATTTTATTCACATAAATTTACAATTAACAGTCAGTGCTGGCATTATTTAAATTTAGTTCTGGTTTATTTTAAAATTACGTTTAATGTTTACAAGTTACTCATATTTGTTTTTTTTTTTTTTTGTATAAAGACTAATGCTTACATATATATTTAACTTTACTTATTTAATACGGTTACAATTTTTGTTCTATAATATATGTTGTAGTAAATAAAAATTATTACATGAGAATAACGAAAAATAGCAAAAAATTTTTTTTTGAACTTAAACGATATCTATAAAATATAATTTATGATTTGTAAAACTCAAATATAATTTTATAAAATTTTGTTGTGGGATCTTAAATTTTAATATAAGTGATTTAATATGTTTTTTTTTTTTTCATTATTTTACATATATACATATTTTTTTATTAATTAATAGATGTATTCTTATATATTAGTTTACTAAGTCGAATTGAAAAGTTAAATGATCTAAAGTAGATTTAGATTATTGCTATATATGTATGTTTATATATTATTACTATGTATTACTATATATATGTATGTTTTTATATTATTACTATGTATTACTATATATATGTATGTTTTTATATTATTACTATGTATTACTATATATATGTATGTTTTTATATTATTACTATGTATTATATTATTATATTTTCATAGGTACTGGCCAGTTATCTATGTTTTATGTAAGTTTTATAATTTATTGTATGTATATGCTAAATTTATATATACGTATATTTTAGAGGCAGAGTTATATTTAAAAGGCAGTTAAAAAAAAACAATATTTTCAATATTTTTGTTCTTAATTCAAGTTATTGCTTAATGCATTGAACAATTTTAAACGGTTTTTATGTACTTCAATACTTTTTCTGTCCGACGATGACAGCGTGCAATTCCCATTAGAATCTATATTTTCGACAGAATAGGGGCCTTTGAATAATTGTTCCAATTTATGGCCGCCATTATTCTCTACTAGTACTAAATCTCCTATTTGTACGTGTAAAGGATTAGCCGTTTTGTCATATTGTAATTTATTGGAGAATTTTGATTGAGTAATCATTTTGGCAGCTCGTTGTCTTGCCATTTGGAGTCTGTACTTCACTTCTTTTTCATAAGAGTCAACATTATAAAGTGGATCTACAGTGTTAAAACCAATAGAATCAATGATATTTGGAATTTTGCCGAAAACCAATTCATACGGACAATAACCATGGATTGTTGATGGAGTAGTATTAAAACAGTATGTAAAATATTTAAGCCATTCGTCCCAATCCGTTCGTTCTAATGACACATAAGAACGAATATATTCATTAAATGTCCTATGTGACCTTTCTATGGATCCAACTGTTTGATGGTGGTATGCTGTTGAGGGAGCATGTTTCACATCCAACATATTAAAAAGTTCCTGCAGGGTCTGGTTTTTATACTCAGTTCCTCTGTCAGTTAAAACTTTTCTCATTGGTCCATATGTAAGTACAAAGTTTTCAAATATTGCCGTAGCTATTGTTTTTGCCGTTTTATCGGGTACTGGTATAGTTACCAGGTACTTGGTGAGATCACATATTATTGTTACTGCGTATTCGTTACCGCTGTTTGACTTAATAAATGGGCCTATTGTATCAATAACGAGAATATCAAAGGCACTTGCTGGCGTTTCCGTTATACACATAGGTTCTTTCGTCCTTTTAAGGGACTTGTTCTCTTGGCATTTACTGCAATTTTTAACATAGTTTTTGATGTCTTTAGACATTCCTTTCCAACGATATTTATTGCGGAGTTTTTCTGACATTCTTTTGATGCCAGGGTGACCTCCGTATAATGGGTCATTATGATACGTTTGTAGGAGTTTTCTTTTCTGCTCGTCAGCAGATATTTTCTCTAATTTTGGCGTTAACGCTATTGTTAGTTTCTTTAATAACTGGTTCGCACAGTTTTTGAAATCATTGATTCGAATCATATTGAATAAATCCTCATTTAATGAGAGTTGCAACTTGAATATTCCCTTATTACCGGTTATTTTTTCCAACCTAGGAATGAATTGACTTAGATCAAAGCTTCCATTAGTAATAAGGTCATCAATCTTTACATTTTCTAAAGTTTTTCTCCCGTATTTAAGGATACACTTTGGAGTTGTACCAGAGAGAAAAAACTTTAGGCGAACACTTTTCTTTACCTCCTTTGCATTTAGTGGTTCGTAGACCCTAGGAATGTCTGACACGCTTGTTAATTTTTTGTCTTTTTGTGTTTGGTCTTTCTTTGATTTAGACCGCGTTGTTACCATATAGAGTCTCTTTGTACTCTTAATATGGTCAAAATCAATTCTGGAAAGGGCATCGGCTCCACAATTGTCCTTTCCTTTTATGTATTGTATTTCGAAGTCATATTCTTCGAGGTCTAATCTCATCCGGGTTAATTTTGAAGATGGATTCTTCAAAGAGAACAAGTAGGTCAATGGGCGGTGATCACTTCTCACCAAAAATTTTGTACCATATATGTATGGTCTGAAGTATTTTATTGCCCAATGTACTGCTACGAGTTCTTGTTCAATTACGGATTTGTTGCTTTCACCTTTGGTAAAGGACCTTGATGCATATGCCACGGGTAATTGTACACCCTTATGCTCTTGGCTTAGAACAGCACCGCATGCATATTTACTTGCATCGGAAGTAATGCAAAATTGTTTATTGAAATCGGGGTACTGGAGTATTCTTGGGGTTAGAAGTGAATTCTTTAAATACTCAAAGCATTTTTGGCACTCTTCAGTCCAAATAAATTTTGCATTTTTCCTAGTTAGTTTTGTTAATGGCAGAGAGTATTCTGCAAAATTCGGTATAAATCTTCTGTAATAATTACAAAAGGCAACAAATCTTTTAGTTTCGTCCGCGCTTTTTGGGGTAGGATATGTTTGGATTGTCTCATATTTTGAGTTATCGGGAAGAATTCCCTTGTCAGTGCATTTATGACCCAAAAAGGTTACTTCATTTCTGAAAAATATACACTTATCAGGATGCAGCTTCAGATTATATTTTCTGCACGTCGTGAAGACATCCCGCAGATTTTGCATCATATGTTTCTCAGAGCATCCAATTACAATGAGATCATCCATATACAGGAATGCCTGTTCAGGCGTAAGACCAGAAAATGCTATTGACATCATTCTTTGGAAGGAGTTCGGCGCTACCTTGATTCCATAAGGGAGACGTTTAAAGCGAAATGATCCTTCATTCGTGGAGAATGAAGTTATATCCCTAGACTCCTCTTTTAATTCTATTTGATGAAATCCAGACATTAGATCCAGACAGGAAAAGTATTTTGCTCGACCTAGTTGGTCTAGAATATCCTCGATTCTTGGTAAGGGATATTTGTCCGCTATTAACCTTTTATTAATCTGTCTGTAGTCTACAACTAGTCGCCATCTCTTTGCAGAATTACCTGGAAGGGATTTCTTTGGTACTAATAATACCGGACTATTGTAACATGAAAATGATGGCTCTATAATATCATCTTGTATTAATTTGTCAACCTGAGTTTTGATTTCCTGTTTTTGAGTATGTGGAATTCTATAATTTTTTATATAAACAGGGGTATCATCCATTACTCGGAACTCTTGTTTATAAAAATTATTAGTTGACATTTTATCGGTTTCTAAAGCAAAAATGTCTGAGAATTCAGTACATAAGTCAGTTAAATCTTTTTTTGCAAAATCAGGAAAATTTTTTGTTAGCCTTTTCAGTATTTGTTCACTACGATCGTCCCGGGTGTTTTGTGTCTGTATAACACTATAATCGGATAAGTTTTCCGTTACAATGTGAACATTTTTTAGTAACACGTTTGTGCTGGTGGTATTTATAATGCGAACATAGGCATTATTCCTTTCTACTATAGTGTTCGCTATAAAAATACCTCCTGATAACTCCTGATTTGGTATCAGAATCACTTCATGAGGGCTATTAAGTTTAATTTTCCTCACTACTTCCGATCTAGATGGTAGTGAGATGGAACCGGGTGTTGGGGCATCATATAATGGCACTGTAATTGTAATGTTGTGATTAGGTGGTCTAATGACCAACGACTCATTGTTATGAGTATAATCCAACAGGCAATTGTACCGACGTATGAAGTCCAATCCGATGATTCCATCGCAGGGTATCGGAAAACTTTCAGGAACTACATGAAAGGAGTGGCTAATTAAAAATTTTTTTACTATTAAATGCGTGTCTATGGTCCCAATGGATTCTATTGTCGAGTCACCAATTCCATTTATCTTGCATGTTGTTTGGTTATTGAAATAAGCATTAGATATTGTTGTTGTTTTTATTATGGAGATATCGGCCCCAGTGTCAACAAGGAATACGACTGGTGAGTCGCATACTTTTGTTTGTAAAATCACATAGCTACTCAGGTTGAGGTTGATATTGTATATGTGATGACTTGATACTTGAGTATCTAGTCTATTATTTGTTCCCCCGTGGGATCTCGGGGGACTTGGTCGTTTCCCTGGGTGTTAGTACACCTCATACAGTGACTATTTTCTCGGTTTCCATTACCGCGTTTGTTGTAATAGTTTGACCTACCATTCCCTCTGAAGTTACCGTCATTATTGCCACCAGTATTACGACCAGTCCCTCTTTGATAGTTGTTAG